AAGATGGATCTAAACGGTATTAAAGATCATAAAGATTGCGAGAAAAAATATCCTAAATTTTTTATGGAAGATAATATCTAGAAATAAAAGATAGAGAATAAAATCTTTTCAAATCTATCTTGTTTTTTTTTTTTTAATTCTTTTTTTTTTATTAGAAAAAAAATATGAGAAAAAAAAAGAAGCTTTGTTTTTTAACTCTAAAATACGGATATGAAGCTTAAGGGCCCCGCGGTGGATGCCAAACTGTTTACGCTCCGATCTGTGCCAACCTCTAGGATAAGATCTACTCAAATCTTAGCAAAACTGAGTTATTTTTTAAAAAGGTAGAGAAAGTGGGATTGCTTAAATTATAGGCTCAGAAAAATCCCAAATCTATACAGATCCAGTCTTTTTCTGAGTCCACTAGTAGAACCAGCTCCAAATCTATATTTTGATCTAGAAAACACTTCTAAATTTAATTAAATCTACTAATAGATTAATTTTTAGAAAAATAAAATAAAGCAAATAATTAAATGAAGAAAAACAAACTAAATTAAGCAAAGAAAGAGACAGTTACCTTTAGGGACCCGAAACCCGAAGTTTCGAGCTTAGATCAAGCTACTCTTTTGATTTGTGCCACTATCTCATTTTTTGGATGCCTTTGCTTGTTGGAATTGGTAGATTTAAGGTTCTTTGACCTAGATCTAAAGTTCTTAAGGTATGAAGAAAAACTATGAATTTGAAGTGGGTATACCTAGGCTTTTTTTGGGATATATTGGGATGAATTTCCTTAGTTTTCAACAGGTTTTTGGATCTCAAAAGGTTGAATATGAATTCTGAGATTTTCTGTGATTTTTTTTTTGGATTTTCCCTAATTTTTCAATAATTTTGTAAGCTTTTTTTTTTTCTATTTTTGAGAATTTTTAGGCTACTTTTTATAATTTTAGTAATTTCTAAGGGATTTCTTCCTATTTTCTCTCTCTTTTATTTTGTGGGTTACGGAGAGCATATTTATAGAATTAAAGTAATGACTTTTCTTGATTTTTTAAATTTTTTTTGGATTTATCTTGAAGTTTTTGCCTTATCTAATTAAAGAAAACGCCTTTTACTGCATCATCAGGCCGCGTCTGGGCCTGCTAGGCCGTGCCTGGACCTACTAGGTCGCATCATGGTCCCCCCACTGCTCGAAAATCTCATAGGGACTAAATTATCATTTGTTCGATTATTTTATCTGTATGTCTGATTCAGGCGATTATTTGACCATTGGAAAGCTTTCGGGGTCTACTTCAAGTTGGGATAGATTTTAGGTGTTTTTGGAGCAATTATATTAGGTCTAGATTGTCTATAGTCTACTAACATTTGTGTGGTCATTTGGACTCAAAATCAACGTTTTTAGGAATTCCCTTAGCCAGAATTTTGAGGGGTGTCTACATGATATAATAGGGTAAGTTATGATATTACTCTCTCTATCTCTTCCATTTCTTCCCCTGAAGTGTATGCTCTCCCTCTCTCTCTCTTCCCTTAATCACTCTTTTCTTATTTTAAAAAATTAAGCTCTTTTTCTCTCTCTCTTTCTCTCTCTCTCTCTTCCCTTAGAGTTAATAATGTATCCTATAACCTCTATACAATAAGGGACCCTCACTCTTTCCTATTTTAGAAGATTAAACTTGAGAGATATTTTAGGGGAAGAAACAGTAAGTATAGATTTTAAAATATATGTGAGATATAAATTGTTGTCTCTCTCTAAAATATGCATGTACCTATCTATCTCTCTCTAATATGCTCTTTCTCTCTCTCTCTTATACATACTCTCTCTTCCCTCTCTCACTCTCCCCTCTATGTTTAGATAATATATAATATGGTAAGTTAGAAGATTACACTCTCTCTTTTCTCCCTATAATTTATATATACTCTCTCTCTTCCTTTTCTTTCCTTAAAGCATATGTACTCTCTCTCTCTTCCCTCTTTCACTCTTTTTTATTTTAGAAGATTGAGCATGAGAGATATTTTAGGTGAGGAATAGTAAGTATAGATTTTAAGATATATGTGAGATATAGATTACTCTCTCTCTCTCTTTTTATCTAAAATATGCATGTACCTATCTATCTCTCTTTAACATGCTCTCTCTCTTTCTCTCTTATACATATTTTCTCTCTTCCTTATTTTAGAAGATATGTTATATTTAAATAAGGATATAATAGGATAAGTTAGGCAATTTTTCTATATATTTTCCTTCAAAAATTTTGTGTACTCTCTCTCTTCCCTTTCTTTCTCTAATGTGTACATACTCTCTCTCTTCCCTATCTCACTCTTTCATATTTTAAAAAATTAAGCTCTTTCTCTCTCTCTCTTCCCTATCTTACTCTTTCCTATTTTAAAAAATTAAGCTCTTTTGCTCTCTCTCTTCCCTTAGAGTTGGAAATGTGTCCTACAACCGCTATACAATAAGGGACCCTCATTCTTTTTTATTTCAGAAGATTGAGCATGAGAGTGATATTTTAAGTGAGGTAATAGTATGTATAGATTTTAAATTATATGTGAGATATAGATTGATCTCTCTATCTCTTCCTCTAAAATATGTATGCACCTATTTATCTCTCTCTAATATACTATTTCTCTCTTTTATACATACTCTCTCTCTCTTCCCTTTCTCACTCTTCTCTATTTCAAAATATATGCTATGTTTAGATAATGATATAACATGATAAGTTAGGAGATAACTCTATCTTTTTCCTCTAAAATTTTTGAGTATTCTCTCTTCCCTTTCTTCCCCTAAAGTTAAGTTCTCTCTCTCTTCCCTTTATCACTCTTCCTATTTTAAAAAGTAAGCTCTTTTTTTCTCTCTCTTCCCTTAGAGTTAAGAATGTATCCTACAACCTCTATACAATAAGGGACCATCACTCTTTCTTATTTTAGAAGATTGAGCATGAGAGATATTTTAGAGGAATAAATAGTAAGTATACATTTTAAAATATCTGTGAGATATAAATTGCTCTCTATCTAAAATATGCATGCACCTATCTATCTCTCTCTAATATCCTCTTTTTCTCTCTCTTATACATACTCTCTTCCCTCTCTCACTCTCCCCTTTATGTTTAGATAATAATATAATATGGTAAGTTAGGAGACTACACTCTATCTTTTTCCCTTAAAATTTATATATACTCTCTCTCTTCCCTTGCTTCCCTTAAACCATATGTATTCTCTCTCTCTTTCTTCTCTCACTCTTTTCTATTTTAGAAGATTGAGCATGAGAGGGGATATTTTAAGTGAGGAATCATAAACATAGTTTTTAAAATATATGTGAGATATAGATTACTCTCTTTCTTTCTCTAAAATATGCACATATCTATCTCTCTCTTATACATACTCTCTCTCTCTCTTCCCTCTCTCACTTTTCCCTATTTTAGAAGATATGCTATATTTAAATAAGGATATAATAGGATAAGTTAGGTAATTTTTCTCTCTCTTTTCCTTCTAAAATTTTTGTGCGCTCTCTCTTCCCTTTCTTCCTCTAAAGTGTACATACTCTCTCTCTTCCCTATCTCACTCTTTCTGATTTTAAAAAATTAAGCTCTTTCCCTATCTCTCTTCTCTTAGAGCTAGGAATGTGTCCTACAACCTCTATTCAATAAGGGACCCTTATTCATTCTTGTTTTAGAAGATTGAGCATGAAAGAGATATTTTAAATGAGGAAATAGTAAGTATAGATTTTAAGTTATATGTGAGATATAGATTGATCTCTATCTTTTTCTAAAATATGCACACTCCTATTTATCTCTTTCTAATATACTCTTTCTCTCTTTTATACATACTCTCTCTCTCTCTTCTCTATTTCATAATATATGCTATGTTTAGATAAAGATATAATATGGTAAGTTGGGAGATGACTCTCGCTTTTTCCTCTAAAATTTTTGAGTACTCTTTCTCTTCCCTTTCTTTCCCTCATTACTTTCTCTTTCTTCCCTCTCTCACTCTTTCCTATTTTAGAAAATTACGCTCTTTTTCTCTCTCTCTTCCCTTAAGACGTGTTTGATAACAAGAAGTTAGAAGATGAAGAAGGAACTTTACCTATTACTATTCCTTATTATGTATTTGATAAAAAGTGAAAGATAATTTGAAAACTCCCCTTTACTATTGAAGTTCCCACCTTTAGTAAAATTCCAAAGTAAACCATAGAACTTGAAAAGGGAACTTTTTATTTTGTCCATGATATATATATATATTATATTATATTTATATAATATATATTTATAATAAAAATATATACAATGTATAATATATTATTATATAATAATATATATAATATATATAATATTGGTATATATATATTATATTATAATATATCTTATATATAATATATTATATATAATAAAAATGTATTATATTATTTTATGTAATATAAGATAATTTCATATATATTAAAAAGAAATATAAAACATAATATATAATATATTATAGTATGTTATAAATATTATATATTTCTATTTAAATTATTATCTATGTAAATATAAATATAAGATATTTACTATATATCCCAGGAGTTATCAAAGAGAACTTAATTTCCCAGAGAGGCTATCAAACCTAGAAACTATTAACTTCTTAAATAATTTCTAATTTACGGTTCTCCGGTAACTTCCAATTTCCTGTTCGGGCTTCTTTGACATCAAACATATCCTTAGCATTAGTAATGTGTCCCTACAACCTCTATGGAACAAGGACCATTCTTATTTTGTACGAAATACAAAGGCAAAGCAGTACACAAACCACACGATCATAAAAAAATCCACACCTACAATTGTCATCACCGTCCACTCCATAGATAAATGCAGAAAGAAAAAAATGTGGGACCCACAACTGAAATCACAACGACCTTTCTAGTGGGAATTCATCCACTGCAATCCACTAAAATACGGTAATATACACTCGTGACTACTATTAATGTGGTCATGTGGGCTATAGCGTAAAATTTCCCCTATAAAGAAGCCCTTGAAAGCGACCTTCCCTCTCAAAGTCGAGCTATAGCTTCCGACACCTCTCGCTCAACATGCAAAGCCCCCTGTTAGCAAGAAAAGGTCGAGTCAAGCTTCAATGGCTGCCTTAGAGCAGCAGCCTCCGAAGAAGAGGAAGCTATATGAGCAACTCCCTATTGAACCAGTTTCTCAGAGCTCAGCTCCGCTTACACAGGAAGAGATCCTTCGAAAGAGGCGTAACAAACAAGAGATCATAAGCATTTATGAATCTTATAGCAGGATCAGATATTGTCTATCACAGAAGGATTTTCATCTTTTGCCTGAATTTGAGCAGGCTTTTCTGTCTCTCATCAAAGCTTCCAGAGGTGATTCTTCTGCCTTCTGGTTTTCACATGCACTGTGAATTTCTGGGTTTGTGTGACCAGAAAAGAATTTAGGTTTTTATGTTGTGTTGATTAAATCTGGTATTTTGAATTATGGTTTATGGATTGGGCACATGAGTTTGATTGTTTTCAGTTAATTAAGTGGTAGGTTTGCTTAATTGTGTTTGGTATTTGTTCATTACTCTGCTCACAATTTTATTGTTTGCAAAATTCAAAGAGAGATATGCTTTGCTTAAACCTAAAATATGGCAGTTTTTTTAGCTATTTTGTTTATTTTTTCTGTTGAATATGTTGGTTTGTCAAATTCTGTTTGATAATTATTCTAGGTTTGGTGGCAATATTACTTCTTGTCACGTAAAATATGTGTAGTTTGCCAAATTTCTTGATATTCCATCATGGTTTTTGTCGTCTTCTTGGTGTTTATTTTCACAAGGAATATCATACTTACGGTTTCGAGTTGCTGAATCAAATTGGTCATCTCTATTGTGTAGCTTTTCTCTTAGGATTCAAGAAAAATCTTCCTGTGAACTGACAAAAAATTTATCATTTCATGTTTTCTATAAGTAACTGAATTGTATTAATGCTGCAAAGTTGTAGAATTTGTGTGTTGTGACAAAATACACCACCCAGAATTAATAGCTGCAAAATGGGTACAAAAATGGTTACCAAGTGATAACAGGGGCTAGATTAAGGCTATATAAAATTGTAGGGGAGTTATGTAACCAGATGAAGGATTTGCCCAGTTGCAATGGTAGAGGAGAAAACGCCCTACATGAGCCAGGGAGTCCGCCTCGGTGTTCACTTCACACCAAGTGTGTCAAAATGACACCTCTAGTCCTTCACAAAGCTAAAGATGTTGTCAAATCCAAGGGCATTGGACAACTTTAGAGGCGCATTGGATGACATTGAGGGAGTCTCCTTCAATGAGAATTGTGAAGCCCTAGTTTCTGTTATATAGGGATAGACCACAAGGAAGTGCCAAAGATTCAGCAAGTTAGGTATCTATACTGCCAATGGGACCTTGAGTCGAGTCTCATTCAGGATCTGGATTGCGGCGGCACTGCGATTGAAGTTTAATCTAATGACTCCAACAGCAGGGATTACCCATGCTAAGGACGTAGAGATTATAGAAGGGGTCAAGAGGATGAGATCACGCCAATTGGAGATGAAGTTCTTGCTAGAATAATAGATGGAGAGTTTGTTTAAGCAAGCCCAAAATAAAACAATGGAGATGGTCCTTTGGATGATGGTGGATAGGGATGTTGGTTAGTTCTCAAAGATCTTTTGGTTCCTTTTGAGCCAGATGGACCAAATGATTGCTTGGATGATGAGGCTCCAAAGGTGTCTACCAGATGGCCCAATGATTGCTTGGATGGTTCCTTCTGAGCCAGATGGACCAAATGATTGCTTGGATGAAGCTTCAAAGGACCAAATGATATTGGTTAACGATTTGGGAAAATATATATTTTATAATTTTTATATCACCTAAATTGGACTGCTGAAGTGGATGGACCTTGCAATAACTACCTCAAGGTCATGGTTTTGAATCCTCT